ACTTGAAAAAACTTGAAAACTTGAAAAGTAAGTGAGTAATTGGAGCTAATACAAAGAAAATATTTGTAGTTGATAAGTTGTGTATGTTGGACATAGATGGAATGCTAGAAATAAATGCAGAACAACGCTTAGCATAATATATATGTAAAAGTTTATTCAATTTGGTACAGCAAAAAATAGGTTTTAAACCCATTAGGTTGTAAGGGTTATATATAGGTTTTAGAAATAGGTTTTAAATCCAAAGCTTTTAAGGGTTCTTTATTAGTTTTATAAATAGGTTTTAAATCTATAGGTTTTAAGGGTCCAGCATGAGTTTTAATAAGTAGGTTTTAAATCCACAGGCAGGGCTCTCTTTGCTCATAGAATCTTGAAAATTTCGACTTGAATTTTGTACAGAGAGCAAAACTTCCGAAGTTAACTGAGGTTTTATTCGCACTATTTAAATGAAGATTAAGCTAGCAACTGAGCTACGCTAGCTCAACAATTTTGTTACACCTAGCAATAATGTTACCCCAAGCAATAATGTTAGCCCAAGCAATAATGTTACCCCAAGCAACAAGCAATAATGTTACCCCAAGCAATAATGTTACCCCAAGCAATAATGTTACCCTAAGCAACAATGTTTCATAAAATAAATGCATCTCTGAGCAAATTTCCTTCACGGCAATACGGTACACACGCGCGATGTTCAGCCTCCGTAGCCACGCCGGCACAGCCTTTGCTATTAAATAAATTAAATTAAGAGTGGCCATCAATCGCGTCCAAAGCCACAGTGAAACTGTGATGCACTCAGACAAATGAGTGGGACATGACCAAATAAAGATGCATGTTTTGCCCCTGAGTGGGTCATCCTGCATGACGCGAACCAGGGCATGTCGGCCGCCACCTCATTTAAATATCGGCCTCCACATCATGTTTATGTCGGCCGCCACCTCATGTCTATATCGGCAACCACCTCATGTCTATGCCGGCCGCCACCTCATGTCTATGTCGGCCACCACCTCATGTCTATGTCGGCCGCCACCTCTTGCATATGTCGGCCGTCACCTCATGTCTATGTTGGCCGCCACCTGATGTCTATGTCGGCCGCCATGTCGGTCGCTGCCAATTCTCTAAAATCCAGCGCCCGGCGACATCGTTGCGGTGAACGCGGAAGTGTTCAGACTCAATATTATTTTCATTTCTCGATCGAGTTGCACTTCCGACCGACAGACTGAAGATCGATGGAACCGTCTAGGGCCGACGAAAAAAACAAATTTCAATTTGTCTGATGCTAAAAAGGCTGCATGAATTTGTTCGGTCGAAGAGCGGGCGGTCTTGAAAGGCTCCATTTGCAATGAAGTTTACAAGTGATTCGTAAGGGGCGCTAACGTCAATGTTCGTGCCTTTAAGATCTTCAAGATCAAGATCTTCAAGATCAAGATCTTAAAGATCAAGATCTTAAAGATCAAGATCTTCAGATTTCCAGAAATTATAGGAACAATTGTGTTCTGTGATGGCGGTTCACTTCGATAATTAATACATAGATAAGTCACTCAGAGAAGTGAATGGATCGTTTTGTTTTAACAGCACACACTTTCAGAATGTAGCACTGATACGGCAAATTATCTGGCAAACTGGGTCAGGATGACACACACAGGTCATTAAGCGCTTCGCTGTTAATTAATTAATTAATTAAAAGAAATTTCACTCATCCCTTTGGGCGACAATATGGTTTTTGTACAATGAGATTCAAACGGTGCTTCTATCCATAATTGTATACACAATGGAAAACTCAGCAATGCAAGCTTATTTAATTCGGCCAAACACCGGTTTTGGGCACTGTCATAATTTGTCCATATAGTTAAATTAAAAACTAAATGGATTAGTTGGTATTTTGTAGACAAACTCGCATTTTTGATGTCTGCTCGGGGTCTTGAAACTTTCTCATGCTGGTCAACTCAAGTGATTAATCCAATTTTTAATATAATTAATCATTCCCACTGCTCCCATTACTAACTATCGATTATTAATTATTGTTCCATTGTATAGGAATGATTGTCTCAAGCGATAATCTATTAAAATTTCCTATCAAAATAAATCAAATTCTAAACAGAATTAATCATTCCCACTCCTCCCATTACTAACTATCGATTATTAATTATTATTCCAATGTAGGAATGAGATCTCAAGCAATATTTAAGTTCCCCATGAAAAACATGACAAATGCAAATATAATTAATCATTCCCACTCCTCCTATTACTAACTATCGATTATTAATTATTATTCCAATGTAAGAATGATATCTCAAGCAATATTCAAGTTCCCCATGAAAAACATGCCAAATTCTAACGTAATTAATCATTCCCACTCGTCCCATTACTAACTATCGATTATTAATTATTATTCCAATGTATAAATGATTATCTCAAGCAATATTTAAGTTCCCCATAAAAAACATGCCAAATGCAAAGTGTTCAGTCAAGAGGTTGAGCGTCGCCCAGCGGTGCGCAGGAGCCGAAACTGTTAGGCTGCCCTGCTTGCGGCGAGCTGCAGCCAGCACCTTCTCAAAATAAATGGGTCATCTTGTCCAATTAGTGACACATTTCTTACTCACATCAAGAGCAGAGGGTAGACGTAGCATCATTGATGTGCTCTTTTACCTTGCCAAACAAGGTCCGAATGTCCCATATAGAGGCCATACGTGCATTGCTGTTTGTTGAGAATTAGTGGTACTCATATCTAGACAAAGCCTCACCCATTTTTGCGAGAGCTGCAGCTCCCGGATGCAAGGAGAAAGCAAAGGCCTTCGTACGCGTTAGAAATGCGGACGTGGCCGAAAACATCGCGTGTCCGTCATGGTTCAACTGCCTCGCTCACTCAAACAAATAAGGAAGAGCTGTCCAAAGAGTGACCCATAGTTTCCCTTATGTGGGTCATTTTGACTAAGTTTGTCTCGGCCAATGGCCATATAAGTATAAGTATCATAAGTGCAGAAAGCGTGTCGCTATTTGGACAATCCTACCCATTGATTTTTCTGAGTGTAGAATCTGAATGCACGAAGGAGCGGCGCTGGGTGCGTTGACACTCAAATAAATGAGCAGAACTTTGTCCAATAGTAATTCACTTCTCATGGGTCATTCTGGTCCAGTTGGACCGGAAAAAAACGAGGATGAGGCCTGCTTTCTGCTGGTACTGTAGGTTAGAAAATATGAGTAACTATTTGGACGATGTGCTACACTAATTTTTCTAGGTGAGTTACTGCGCCTGTTCACCCGGAACGCCAGCACAGCGACGCAGGTTTTGGGTCCGTTGGCCCGGGCCTGAGTGTAGGTTTTAGGTTCAGAATTCTTTTGCAAATTATAAATTTTTGAGTTGATCGCGTTTAGAAAAAATCTCATAATATTGGAATGTTTCTGATGTTTAGACATTAATTTAACTCGCATAAGTTCTATGTTTATTAATATTGCTAACAATTCTGCACGAAGCTCTATTGAATGAAACAGTAATGTTACAGATTTAACTTGAACTAAGAATTGACATCGTAAACATCGTGATTGAACTGACGTTTACCCACAAAATCTAACTTATATTGAACGTTATCACAATAAGAAATATAAATATTTTGTACATTGAAGACTCGCTCAGCAAAATATGATTAGATATTAATTTCAAATTAGTAAGCTAAAAAATAGACAGAATTTGTCGCCAATATAATCTGTTATCAATTCAACTCCTAAGTGAAACTCATATAAACGAAATAATCCTATGATTTTCCTATAAATAGCTTGGATTTCTAATAAAAGACGATGTTATCGACGTCAATTCATATATAAAACAATTGAAGCGCCTCGCTAAACTGTGAACCTCGCACCAGGTTCATTCTTAACTCGCACCTTTCATCCCGGGGACTTTTTTGGGGGAGTTTTTGTGGGGCGAAGAGGGGCGACCGCTGGACCTGTTCTGCAACGGCGACCTTGCAAGGGCGAGCGGGGAACTGAGAGGCGGCGAGTGGCGGATGTAGGAGTGGCGGCGAGTGGCGGATGCAGGAGTGGCGGCGAGTTGCGGATGTAGGAGTGGTGGCGAGTGGCGGGTGTAGGAGCTGTCTCTTATACACATCTAGATGTGTATAAGAGACAGATGCAGGAGTGGTGGCGAGTGGAGGATGCAGGAGTGGCGGCGAGTGGCGGATGCAGGAGTGGCGGCGAGTGGAGGATGCAGGAGTGGCGGCGAGTGCATGGCGGATGCAGGAGTGGCGGCGAGTGGAGGATGCAGGAGTGGCGGCGAGTGGTGGATGCAGGAGTGGCGGCGAGTGGAGGATGCAGAAATTCATGCATTTTACATCTGTACAAGGAAATACACATGCAGTAGATGCACTTTACTGACTCAGTGCAGTCACTGAGTTAATTATTATACTGAATGGAAGAGAATTTGACGCCACAAGTGAGTCATATCAGGAGTGAGTCATCAAAATTAAATCGTTATTTGGACGCGATTGACTCATCTAAGAGGCGCAGTGGTGGCGAAGTGAACAGCCTCCAGTGAAGGCTGTAGTCTGTTTATATTATGTACTATTATGTATGTAGAATTGATGTCATTTGTTTGCGTAAATCGCAAGTTAATTAAAAATATAAAAGCATGGAATAATCCACAAAACTTCATATGTACCTACTACATTTTTGAAAAATATGAATTTTTTAGAGATATTAATTTATTTTGACAATTCTTTGCTTTAAAATTTTTAATTATATATGTAGTTGCAGATATTATATGGTGATATAGGTGATGCCGCGGAGTTCGTTTACTATTCGTTGCTTTTAAATTTGTAATTATACATGTAGGTGTTGATAATATGTATATATGGTTATATAGTTGATGCTGCAAAGTTCGTCTACTATTCTTTGCTTTTTTATTTTAAATTATACATGTAGGTGCTGATAATACATGGTTGTATAGGTGATCACAGAGGTATAAAATGTTTAATTATACATGTAGGTGCTGATAATACATGGTTGTATAGGTGATGACGTGAAGGTGTGCGCGACGACGCAGTGCGGCGCAGATCGGCGCTGCGTGGTGCGCGCCGGCGCGCCGGTGTGCGCGTGTAGCCCCAAGTGCTTCCTGAAGAACAAGAGCGCCGTGTGTGGCAGCGACGGCCGCACCTACAGGTCTGAGTGCCACCTCCTGAAGAGGGCGTGTCGCAAGAAGAGGAGGCTCCTCGTCAGGCATTATGGGACGTGTCAGAGTGAGTCAAGCGTGGGACATGGCAGAGTGAGTCAAGCATTATGGTACATGTCAGAGTGAGTGAGGCATTATGGGACATGTCAGAGTGAGTCAAGCCTTATGGGACATGTCAGAGTGAGTCAAACATTATGGGACATGTTCTGAGTGAGTCAAGCACCAAGGGTAGTGTTGGTGAAGTTTCTAGTCATGCCTCCATTTAAATATCGAAACTGAGGCATCAGATGTGAAATTTTTCATCTTATTTTCCAGGAATACGAATTGTTTATCTCGTAATTGCAAATACACGATTTATTTGTAGGTTTTAAATCTTAATATTAAATCTGAGTGAGTAATAATTATACTTCAAGTCAAGTATGTAACATCAACGTGAATATACGTATCATAAACTCTAAAATCCTAACAACAGCACAGATGGGAATTATTAGAAGGTAAATTGCATTTATTACATAATTTATCCCTGAAGCGAAATCGTATGGTAATATTATAATTATTAAATTATTTTTTGGAGAACGTAAATGTTTCGGCAGCGTGCAGTGGCGTCAAGTGCAGACCCGGCAAGAGCTGCGTGCTGGGGGAGGACTTAGTGCCGCGCTGCCGACGCTGCCCTCCTCAGTGCCAGACGCGCGCCCCGAGGTTAAACTTGTCATACATGAAATTGAACAATTAATTTAATTAATCCTCTATAGCTCCTCAACGAGCAAATAAAATTTGATTATGATTTCTAGATTCATTGAAATTTAATATCATTTTAAGCTGCCAGACGCTCATAAAAGTGTAAATCAGTTGTCGTACAATTGATTGATTGATGATTGTTACTATAACGAAGATTGTTACTACCAAAAATAAATTGTCAGATAAATTTTAAATATTTCACCAGCATTCATACAAGACTGCATGAAGGTATACTAATCCATTAACACAAAGTATATTTTTTATGCCTGTGTGGAAATATACACACTATATAAGCATGTGGTTGTTAACTGCGCAGGCGTCCGGTGTGTGGAGCGGACGGCCAGACGTACGTGTCGTCCTGCCACCTCAAGACCGCCGCCTGCCACAGCGGCAGGGTCATCGTCAGGGCGTACCGGGGCGCCTGTCAGGGTAGGGTTTATATCTATAATCATATCATATCATATCACATCATATCATATCATATCATATCATATCATATCATATCATATCATATCATATCATATATCATATCATAGTATCGTCAAGAGGATAAAGATTGTTCCTTGAGTTAATAAAAATTTTTGTAACATGTTACATTTTGGGAAAAGGAATAAAAATTAAAAACGATGCTCCAATGACCATGGAACGAAATATAAATTATTGTGAATGAATATTAGGAATTATTTTTACCAATACATGAATTTATTGTGTGGCATAACGCCACATGTGGCATAACTCCGTTTGGCCAGGCAACGCAACATGTGGCATAACACTGTTTGGCCAGGCAACGCAACATGTGGCATAACACCTGTCTCTTATACACANCTTCGTCTAGTCTGTTTTTGAAGATGTTCATACTCGGAGCTTCAACGATGCTATCAGGGAGGCTGTTCCCCATGTCGGTGACGAAGCGAGAAGAAATGTTGTCGCATGGATGTGTTCCAATGCTGTTTTTTTTTAGTTTATAGCCGTGGCCCCTGGTGTTGGTTCTTGTTTCAAATTCTAGTAATCCTTCTGGGACCTTAGTAGGGCAACTTGGGGCAGCGCCCCCCCTTTTTTTTAAACTAAATTTTTGATTAAGTTTTAATTGATATACGAGATGGTTCTTTGTTTTGTTTGTTGGGCAATGGGCCCATGGGTTGTTTTGCCCAATGGGTTGTTGGGCAATGGGCCCATGGGCTTGGGGCAAGGCGCCCACCCTTGGTCCCTTTAGTACAATTGCATAACTTCGTTTAAAAATGATAAAACAACACTTTACAGTTAAAAATAAGAAAAAAAGGTATTAAAAAATATGACATTCATTCATTTATTAACAACTCAAAAAATCATATCCTTAACTTGAAAAAATATACTCTTGGCTGAAAGTGATGAAAATTATTTCATTGACATAAAAATATATATCCTTGCGATAAAAAATCGTCATTGACATGAAAAAATATATCCTAGACTAGAAAAAATATATTTAGTTGATCAGAAAAAACTTCGTTCTAGTTTCGTCCATAATCCAGATATTATGTGCAGAGAATTCGTATCTAATCGTGATTTCAGCTAACACCATAAAAACTCATCAACTTTTGACTCATTGGTGTTGACTGAAATCAACTTTTGGCAAGGCAAGAGTCAATAACTCGATAAGGGGTCATAAATACGCATAACTAGAAACTAAACCTGCTGCCTTGAGGCGGCAAATCGAAAAATCATGCAATATGAAGTATGATTGGTATTTCAAAAGCTAGTCATAGTTTTGAAAAGGTCATTGAGACAAATCTAATGATGTATAACACAAGACTTCCCCATGGGCGCTTTGCCCCGTGACACGCGTGGGCCCGTTGCCTCCACTAAGTATCCTTTCAAGTTATATCGTGTCAACATTTTATTTTAAAAGCTAATAGTCTAAACTTGATCTCAAAATTATCCCTATAAATATTACTTTCAAAATATAATTCACAGTAATTTCAGAAGCTTCATCTACAGTAATCGAAAACAGTTTTATTTAGCAGCAAAATCTGGGCTGAAACAGTTATCCACAAATATCTTAATAACGCAAACACTTAACAAAACGTAAATCCGTACACTTCATCCCAGTAAAATTGTCGACCGGCGGTAGAGAACACGGACCAATATCTGCCATACTTAGCGAGAAATCCGCTATATGGGCCCATGATCCGCTTGCTGCCCCATGTTACCCTATATGAGTCTATACTGTACAGTGGGGAATGATGTGATATTTATTAGTGTGATTGCATGAACTAAGTAAGAATTTCACTTCTGGGATAAAAATGCATCCGGCATTTATTAATTTTGAAATATTTTCATGTATGTATAATTATTTTAAATTCTATTAAGAAAAGAAAATATGAATAGACAGTTTAGCATGACCGGAACGGTATAAGTTATCAATAATTTTGTGTGAAAAAGAAGTTCTACTTACAGCCACGGCCGGCACGAGCTTGTGGCAGTTCTCCATTGAGTTTCGACAAGCAAACAATTCGATTGACAAGAATTCATTGCTGATTGATATTATTCAATGGTGGTGTGAATTAGTGAAAAAATAAATCTAGAAGCGTCAAAAATCAATGCATTATGACAAAAATCAGGGCATGAAATAGACACGAAATTGTGCCAAATGTGAATAAAGTTATAGTGAAATTCAGACAAATTTTAAAGGCAATAATTTTGTTAAACCAACACCGTTCACAAAAATTTGAGGACGAAAACTGACAAGCAATTTACGTGACTCTCCAACAGCATGTGTGTGCATTTCGTTAAATAACGACATTATATTACTATCTAAAAATATTCAATGTTATTTAATTAAAGACAGTTAAAAGGAGTAAATTTTCTAGCTAATCCCTTTCATAATCCTAACAAGTATTCAATTATGAATATTCACAACATTAAACACATCTTAAGAGCTCTTATTTAATTTATCGTTCTAATTTATAATCAGCTTCCACTACCTCTCACTTTCTATATATCTTATAGCTTTTCTAATGGTTGTTTCTTTCATCTAAAGAACTGCTTCTCAGCTCCTATATATCTTATAGCTTTTTTAATGGTTGTTTCTTTAATCTAATGATCTGCCTCTCCGCTCCTATATATCTTATAGCTTTTCTAGTACTCGTAGTTGCTTCGTCAATACAAAATCTTTTATTTTCGCCGCCTATTATAAAGCCTAAATGATGCCAGCACAGGCAGTAAATAGCGTTCTCAATGGCCTAACAAACACGCCATTTATTTTCCCTATGGCTATTAACATCAAAATTCGCATTATTATAGCCATGCTGAGGCCACAATTAACGCCTGCTGTAGCTGTTCTTGCACCGCATAACTTCCTATATTAGGTCTCGAGGAAAGGTCAACGAGTCCCTTGTACGTTACGGTGACGTAAATGACGTAAAAATCTACGTTTATTAGGCCCAGCGAAGACGATGGGTCTGTCTTGCACGGCAACTCTCAGGTCTATAGTAGATTTATTTGGTGTTAAAAAGACGTGCAGTAGCCGGTCGTAGCTACAGACTTCCCTGACACTCGCTCTACAGGAAATCTATTAGGAACATTGAGATGCCATCATACACTCGTAATCCAGGGTGATCGCTCCACAGATCCCATTGTAGCGAGAATTTTATTGTCTGCAACTTATCACCCATTAGCGGCTCTTTATTTCTACAGTAAAATTTTATATCCTACTATTAGATGGACTATAGAAGATCACTTAAACAAGTTTAAGGTTGTTGAAGTTGTTGGCACAACAGTCGGCGCAACGAGTGTCTCATCTTTGCAGTTAACTCGCAGCAATGGAGATGCTATCAATTTTTATTGCGTGCTGCTTCTGACCGCGCGAGTTGTTCATTAAAATTCTAAGCAATTCTCTGAAGAACTTTTTATTTAATGTTTGGATAAATGGAAAAAAATGCATCTTAGTAGGGATGGATTTTCGTTCCGCGTGAAGCAAAATTAACGATTTAAGCGCGCTTCATTTGAGTTTGTTTTAAGAAATCAACTTGGATTTGAAGAGACTCGTCCCTCTCAAAGTTCGAATTAAAAGTGAACTTGGATATCCTTCACGTATGATGGGAGGAGGAGCGTTTGCCATTGTAATTGTCATTATTTATGACAATGTCATGATGACATATAAAAGCGTCCATTAATGGAAAAGTTACGGGAGAAACCTGCTATTTTTGTGCTTCTGTTGGCCATTTCCATTAACTATTGCAATAGAAGAGAAATGTTAAAAAAACAGACGTGCGAACTAAATTACAAAACTGAAGGTATTCGTGAGTTTGTGAATAATTGAATTTCAGTGTTAATTAATTAGTGAATTAATTAACTTCTTAAACTCATGACAATTTCAATGGCTTAATCTCATGAAATTTCATTACTAATGAACAAAATTGTACAATTAATGACCAAAACAGTAACAATAGAAATTAATTAATGCATTGAATTGAAAAATCTTCTCGCTAGGGTAGCATATGCTAGGAACACGGAACAAGTAAGTTACTAAATAAATGTCCTAATCAAACTAGAACTTGTCCAAATAGTAAGTTTTTAAACTCGTATAAATATTTTAAACTCATATATTAAGTTTACTTCAAGATTTTTGAATGGTTCTCGCCTCAATCAGGACTTATGAATGGTTCTTGCCACAATCAGGACTTATGAATGGTTCTTGCCACAATCAGGACTTATGAATGGTTCTTGCCAGCAATATCTCGACCAAGGCGACGCTGTGGAATGAATCTCTCCAGAGACGCTATTATGAAGCGCCTCTAGAAATGATTCATCATAAGATTCGTTAGTTTTGCTTCCATTTGGACAACATTGCGGCCACTGCTTAAGCTTCTTATCAGTAAAAACGCAATCACTTCTCCTGGTCTCTCGGGATCGTGAAAGCCGTGGTGAAGCCACTGAAAAAATGTCTTCTGTCTTAGGTCCCACAGTGTGCAAAAAAATCTACTGCAGCTATTATCTTAAGCTGCAAAAGCCAAACATTTAATAGAGTGACATTGAGTACAAAACGTTAAATGAAATTAAGGAGTCAATATTGATTTGAAGAAAGATAGAGTATTCTATTGAGTATATTGATATTGAAAATTGATTTGTGAAAGATTAGTATCATGACTATCATGGTGGTTATGTTTATTGTTCATTATAAGTGTCAGTTGATTGCAGTCATGGGATAGTCAACTTGGACGCTGAAGTTCAACGTATCCTTTAAATATTCAATAGCTGACTTCATTAATGGAACTTCGTGCTGAAGTGTCACTATCTGAGTATACAAAGTTATTTGGTATACGTATAATATATGTATGAGTATATAAATATGTATATAAGATATACTATGAGTCCACTTTTGCTATTTGGAAAGAGTCATTCGGGACAGAAAAGTGATATTTTCGAGTCACTTTTGGTGGAGTCTATACTCCTTACACGAGCACAACCAATCTGTTACCATTCTACTCATAATACAACCTGTATTGCCGTCATGGATATTATGTGAACCTTAACCTTGTAGCTGCATCGTCATTTATTTTATCATTAACCTTTAGGCATAACTTATGGACGGTGGGACTCTACATATAGCGAAACTTATCGTACACATAACTCAGACACATTCAGGAAAATATCGTAGTCATAACTCAGACACACTCAGGAAAATATCGTAGTCATAACTCAGACACACTCAGGAAAATATCGTAGTCATAACTCAGACACACTCAGGAAAATATCGTAGTCATAACTCAGACACACTCAGGAAAATATCGTAGTCATAACTTATATAGACACAGTCTTACTCTAAATTCACTCTAATAAACTTTTCCTTAAACATCGCGCGAAGGCTCATCTGGCCAATACTAAGAGTGTGTCCGTAGAAATAAGTATGGAGCAATGCAAAGAAGTGGAGCTACAGAATCATATTTAAGGGTCCGTAGGAATAACTATAGAACAATACAAAAAAGTGGAGCTACAGAATCATATTTAAGGGTCCGTAGGAATAACTATGGAACAATACAAAAAAGTGGAGCTACAGAATCATATTTAAAAGTCCGTTGGAATAAGGATGGAGCAATACAAAGAAGTGGAGCTATACAGAATCATATTTAACGGTCCATAGTAATAAGTTGAAGCAATACAGAGAAGTGGAGTGAACAGAATCATATGTAAGGGTTCTCTCATTGTCACCATCGTCAGGATGAAGCAAGTGTTATCTGTATTAATCGGTGGAAATGAAATCAGTGACACAATATTGTTATTTTCCCAGCAATTCCAAATGTGAGAGGTTTGATGTCATGAAGGTGATAGATATAATATGTATTGATGGCGAAAGATATTATATGTATGAGTTTTGATTATGGTTCCATGCATAAATGCCAAGTTGGGAACTAGTTTCAATTGTGCTGGATGTGCTAACACCCTCACTAACACCACTCACTAACACCCCTCACTAACACCCCTCACTAACACCCCTCACTAACACCCCTCACTAACGCCCCTCACTAACACCCCTCACTAACACCCCTCACTAACACCCCTCACTAACACC